GTAAAATTGACTCAGGGTGCAGGGTTAGGGTGTCCTTCTGACTGCAACAGCAGTGACCATGAAACATTAACTAGACTCGCCGTGAACTATTTTCTACTTCCTTGGAAGGTGCAGGCTCTTTTAGCACAAGGTGCAACCAAAATATGTATCTGTGACTTAATACCTCATAAGCCAGAATGGCTAATTTATACTGTATCTTTGAGCAAAGCTATTTTCCTAACAAAGATCACCCTTTTAAGTTACAGTGAGGGAAAAGTCCACATCTCCTAGTACAGTCTTATTAAAGTTAATTTTTTTCCATGCTGCTTTTTTTTTCTTTGTACTTCTAGAGTACAGAAAAGTAAAACCAAGTCATTAGTACCTTAACTGAAATACTACCTCCTAAGCTGCTGAGATCCTTAATAGCAAATCTCTGTGTTTTGAGTAACTCTCATCTGTCTCATTGTACCTAATCATTGTGTCAAAGTACATAATGATCCTGCGTAAACGTGTCTACTGGGAATTCATCATAAATTCTTCCTGCTCTGCACTTTCCTGTAATTTGTGTGTGTCTGATAACATGTAAAGTCAGGTATTATCATCCCTGACTGAGCAAACAGCTTAGATAACATCCTGGTTTGTGCATTTATGGAATTCACAAAATCCTTTTTCTCAGAACCCATGTTTAAACACAGGCAGTCACCCACAGCCACTTTGGTATTGGGTGTTTATTCTTTCCTCTTCATCACTTTCTTTTATTTAATTTACTTCCTAAACAGAAACATCTATTCAAGGTCAAGGTGCAAAGGTATCTTTTATTACTGACAGGTGGAAACAACTGTGATCTTTTACTAGTGACAGGTGGAAACAACTGTGATCTTTCTGAAGAAAATTAAAAAAAACACCCCCAAATAAAATAATCAGTCCATAATACTACAGGCAAGGAAGAACCAAACAGGCAGCAGCAAGTATGCTGATGCTGTAAGCAAGTGAGATAGTTTGTCTTCCCTTGGATATTAAAATAGCTTAGTATACCAAAAGTGCAGCTAACACTTTTAGGTGTAAGTTCAACAAATCTTCCAAGACCACAAAGCACATTAGTCATATGAACATGGAGGGATCAGCTGAAACACAAAAAACAGCAAGTGGCAGGAGAGTTATGAAGAGTAAAGCAGTAAAAAGCAGGAAGAATATTGGCACTAGATCCCCTAACCTTCTCTTTGCTCCGTTCTCCTTCAGTGAACTGAAACAGCCTCCACAGAAGTAGCAGATTCAGGGCCCGGACAAACACCCTCCCCAGAAACATGGTTAGAGCCAAGAAGAATGTGTGCTGCCAAGCCAGTGTCAGAACTTGTGTTGACAACTGTGATGTTTGCAGGAATTAATTCCTCTGGAAGCATCAGCAGGCTTCTCTTCTTCAGTGAGCAGCCAGCAGTCTTCATCCCACAGGCAGATACTCCCTGAGGCATCACTGGAGCAATTCTAGACACCCAAAAGATTATTCCCAAGAATTATTTACACCTCAGTATTCCTCAAGAGCTGTTTTCTAAAGAGATGGCAGAGTTAACAGGGTAAATACCTTATGCTGAATGGGGAGTTTAAGAAATAAAGGATAGTTTAGAAACAAAAAAAAAAAAAAAAAAGAGAAACTAGAGGTAAGCTAGGAACAGTGAGTACTTCCAAATAAAATACAGAGAAAAGCCAGATAAGGTTGGAACACCAGACCTGTGTGAGGTTTACTGTAGAAGTTTTAGAAACCATAAAGCAACCCTTATTTGTTTCCTCACATACACAAAACCAACACTACCTCCTGCAGTTTTCAACAGTATATTCACTGAACAAATAAACACTAAAGAAGTGGTACCTGGAGCTTCTGCACCATAACATAACTGTGCAAGACAGATGGCTGCCAAATGCTTCTCTGTTGCATATGCACAGATTGCCTTTTGGCTCTCAGGAACAACAGACCACAAGAGCAAAGAACAGCATTGATCACAGAAGTTCAAGTATTCTTTCTGTATGTAGGTAATCTCAGTAGTCTGTATGCATCCAGATTTGAATCCCATGTCCTAGAAACATCCCACAGATACAAAAATATCAGATACTTAACATTGCCTAACACTGCAGTGTCATGAAGGAGAGAGAAGATGCATACGTAAGCTAATTTTAGGAACAGTAAGTAGTCAAACTTGTAACGAAATATTTGTTTTGTAAATTAAATACAGAGTACTCTGAAAACAAGAAGGATTCTGCCATAAGAGAGGAAAACAAGCGGTTTGCAGAGCGACAGCTTGATGCATTTGCCATAACCGAACAGAGCGAGCCTATGTTACCAGAAAATTTTAAACACTGGTATTAAAACATTAACTAGATGTGAAATAAAGCTTCTAATACCAATAATTATCCAGGCAGAAGCAATACAAAAGGTTCAGGGTACATGTTTGCCTGCCTTTCCTTCAGTTTTTATTTTTGTTTGGTAACTTCTCGTTTTGTATGAAAAGCCTTCTCAGACTCTCGGCTTGATACAGGAAAACAATGTCTAGATTACAGAAGCATACGTTATGACCGCCCAATTGTCCCTACTCATTTGTTTGCCGTTTCACCTAAAGCATTCCCTTACTGCTCAATTTGGGCATGCTTTCTAGGCTTTCAGACTGACTGAATTACACAGATTCCCTCAGGACACAGTCCCTTCATTTTCACTGTGCTGAGGAACTGATTGCTTCCTGTCCCCAACCATTCCAGTTGCTTCAAAAATCTTGAAAGTTGTGCATTTCTTTTAAGGCTACATTATAATGAGCAAAAGAAAAACGTTAGAACAGTTCAGAAGCATCTGTAACATTTAATAGATTTTTTTCATCTATGTCACTTTTTGCCACTCATTTAACTCAGGCTAAACAAGCAGCTAATCAAAAACATCAGTGTCACTTAAGCATTTGCACATTTTTTCAGTACAGGAAGACTCAGGTACAGACCATGTAACTTCATTTTAGAACATCCATCTCCTTTTCAAGTGCTTCCTTACAAGGCGAGGCAATATTCAAATCTCAGTTTTCACACTGAATAGGAACCACCAGCTAAGTAGGGTATACAATTCAAAGTATTATTGTTATGCATCAGCACAGGGAGTATCCCATCACATTCTCCTTCCAAAGGACCAAGTCTAGAGCTTCAATGGGTTTATTACTTTTTTTAAACAAGTCAGTAAAGTTGTCCTGAATTATGAACATAATCATTTCTAGTTCCTGCTTACATTGATTTGAATTTCACCGATTAGTAAGTAGCACACATCTTTGTCAACAAAATTATTTCTCCTTACATGTGTACCTTTTCTTAGTATATATATTCATTACATTATTTTCTTTTTCAGTTAAATATTTAGTTTCCTTTAACACCTGAGGTAGCACTAAGCCTGCGAGGGCTAAAGTAGTAGTATACAACTGTTGAAAACACAAGAGAAGTCTTACAGAGGAGTATCAATGAAATGTAAACATAAATCCATTCCACACAATAACCTCACATCATCAGTATAATTGTGCTTGTCTATTTAATTTGGTTTTAATGGAAAAATGCTATAGTGAATAGCTAATGCACACTTAATTGGAAGAAAATCAGATCTATAATTATTTGCATTAGGAGAGATTCCAAAGGCTACAGAGAACTGGAGATTGAGACGTTTCTGTCCAGAGACAGGAAGAGACTGCAGAGTTGGAGGCAGGAATAGCAAACTTTTATACTTCTAAGGGCTGAAATTCAGTTTACCACAATTCTTAGAGAACAAAAAATATTTAAACCTGGAAGATGGAGTCTGATGTAGACAAAAGAGAAAACCACAGTACAGATACATATTTGTGTCCTTTAAAATAATGACCTCAAGAGATACTTACTGTGCTGTTCAAATGAGAGCAATAGTCTGTTGTTCCGTTTTCAAAAATGGTTACTTACCAATCTGCAGTTTGCAGCAAAGGACATTTAACATAGATACAAGAAAAAAAAATTGGTGGTAAACATCATACTGGGAACAGTCTAGCAAACAAGTTTGTGAACTTTCTCACTGAAAGCAGAAGGTAACCAAACCACAAATATATAATCTTTGATGTCCAAAGGTACGATTTAGAGAATGGTTAATATATCAGTCTGAAAAGGTATTAGAAGGGATACTAAAGCTTTATTACTTTAATTAATAGACTAGGCCACTGACATGTACAGAAAGGTTTCAACATGTAAATTATGCTCCAGTTTCTGCACAAACTAAAGATTTAGACTGATCTGAAAACATTTACCCACTGACCTCTGTAGTTTCCAGTTTTTAGTAGTCTGTAAATAGTCAAAAATAAATGAATTTGACACTGCTGTGGCAGCAAGCATTTCTATGACCACACTGGAACAGTCACTGCTGTTAAGTCAGACAAATGAGCTGTCAGTATATTATGTTGATACTTCTAGTGAAGAACCTACTTTAAGGGTTTCATGATTTATTTAGTGGAATGTGTAAGTCTAAAAAGAAGAAAGTTATCCATTTGATATCTCAAAATTCATAGCTCAACTCTTTCACTGCAATCCTGTTGGCCAGGTGTCCAATTAAATGTATTCCACATAAATAAAAAAAAACAATTAGAAAAACACTAAAACAAGCAGCACTAACATTTGTTGAGAATGTGGTGCAATCTTATGAGACTCAGTTTCATTATTTCAATTTGATTAGCTATGCAATAACTTTAATACTTGGGCAAGTGTATTATTAGCAGAGGGTACCAAATGGACAAATTTATATAGAAAGCTGCAGTAACAGACAAATATGCTTTCTGGCATGAGCTGCTAAGCTTCTGTTGATGTCCTCCTCCACCATTCTGAAACAGCCTTTTCTTGTAATACTAACTAGTGCAACCACACTCGGAGACCTGTAACTCAAAGACCTTTGCCTTTGCAACGTTACTTTAAATGCACTTAGACAATATTGGGAGAATATATTACATTTATGATTGTTTTTAAACAAAGTTTTCCAATGATTACTCATTCACAAGTTTTTAAATAAAAGTTTATTACAGAAATTATTTTGAACAAAAAAGGCAACAGTATCTGTTGTAATTTAAAAAAAAAAAAAAAGAAGTAACATTGTATTCATGCCCTATAAGGTGAACTGAAGAAATGCTACAGGTATTTCTTCGGCTGTCATTCTGTGATGCTTTCTAGCATGGATTAACTCACGTCTGCATCACAAGAATTAAGCATGAACACAGTCCCTTTCCATGCTTCTTTCCAGAAAGTGCTGCATATTAACAGAAAATATTGCAGACAACCCACAGTTCTATTCATTCTGTAGTATTGGAACCAGTGTCTAGGAAAGAAAAAAGAAAGTATGAGTAATATATACCCCCACTACAGTTGAGTATAAATTAAAGAGAACCAATACCATTTTCTAATCTCTTCCCCAAGCATTTTAGAACATGTTCTATACCTACTCAATTGCCTCCACTGCTATGAATGTGATGCATGAACTGCTTGTGCTGTTTCATTTCAGTTAGCAACATTGAAAAGAGCCAGCGCAAAACTTCAAGGTTGTGCACGCACATCATTTGCTATTAAGGCATTAAAAATACAAGAACCTTTGCTCTAACGTGTAGTGATACACAAACACTTCACTGCAGTCAGCCACGAGCACATCTGGCTAACTCACATGATCTACTAATAAGAAAGGGTTTTGTACATCCAGTAGCATAAGCTGCTATGGAGTATGGGCTACAGTTTACTAAGCATTTTGAAATAGATGCAAGAATGAGCATGATCTTCATAAAACAACTGAGAGCGATTCTCTGTTCTGAACTTTTGTCAGAAGCACCAATTAACACCAGGACAATTTCTGGTATTACTACCATTACTGCTTTCTTGTTCCTAGAGCTATGGAAAAAATACGTAACTTGGATATGGAGAAAGACAAGTCAGTGTTTCCTACGTTCCTTTAGCAAGTCAACTTCTTGTGGGAAAAAAAAGGCTGTAATGTTATTAGCAACTTTAAGTCATCCAGTTCTTTAAATCTTATCTGCATACTTTATCAAGAGTGAAAACGATTCATACTTAGAAAGTAAGGTTTCCTCTACTAGCTATAAGCACACAAAAAATAAACAGAGTAAGATTATATGCTTGGCTAATACCAGAAGTTGAGCAAACTATAAATTCTGTCAGCTCTTTAGAACTACAACTTGAAGTGACCACTGTAATCATGCCAGGATCAGGAAACCATAAAGAACCTGTTTCAGAGGTCTAGGGTGTATTTAAATAAAGCCTTTTCCATTCTCAGTTCTTCCTTTTAGCATCACTCCCTGGGGATGAAACAACTGGCACCATTTCACACATCTTTAGTGATATTCTACCACACTGATGGTTTCCAAAGTTATAAACCAGCTGGCCACATAAGTCACTAAATGACTTTTTCCAGTAAATAACTTCAAGAAACATTGACAAATGTACTCCAGTCAAGCAGATATGGAACATAAACTCCCGTAAGCAGTGTACATACAGTGGGCCTGTTGAGCAATATATAAATCTTATGATTTGCAAATGCTAACATAAGCTTTTCATGTGCTTGGGTCCCCTACTATAAAATCCAGCAAACAATTGCTTAGACAGTTTTCTCAGACAATTGCTTGCTCAAACTGATGAAGCACACCTTGAATTCAGTAAAATATGGTGCTGTTCTAATGAACAGGTTAATACAAGAAAAAAATCAGCACACAGAAATTTAATTAAATTACTTATGACTTTCTAAATGCTCTAGTAGTACGTACTTAACAACAGGTGTACAGCAATCTCCAACACATTTCTACTTCAGTGCTAATGAGTTACGGAAGCATTTAAGCTTGCTTTTGTTTCATTTCTCATCATATGTAAAAGGGAGGGCAGAGCCCTACTTTTGTCTGAATAATACAGTCAATCTGGCTTTAATCAGACATTTGGTCAAAGCTTTCTATAAATGATCAAGTCTTGTGTCTCAGCTTACGTATATCATATTCCATACTTACTTTTTCCATCACATGCTACAATTTTCACTTTATCCACTTTCACAAGTTCAGTGACCTCCCTAAATTCAACATCATTCAGTACAAATGTCCATACGTTGTCACAGAACCTGTATGTATTCAGAGACCCCTTTAAAAAGACAAGAGACATTTTCTATAGGATGCATCCCAGAAGTAACAGAAAATACGATGTTTACCATCTACTGAACTACATACCTTCTAGAACTAGGTTTGCCATAAAGCCAACTGTGAACCTGAATGCATACAAACTTTGCAAGAAAGCAGTTCTGAGGAAAACTGTAGTTTAAATGCCCTCCAGTGGCTGACATTTTCAAGACCGTGTAGTAATGTTACAGTCTATCCAAGGGCAAACTTCACAGGTACACTAAGAAGTTTTATAACTTTTCTAATCTGTGTAAAGGATCAGTTTCAGAAAAGGTTTCTTAAAACATAGGCCATAAGAAAACTCAGTTACAGCAGTGATCATAACAAGATGTGAATTTTGCAATTGTTTAAATAAAGCAATAGTTTCAATAAAAAATCATGACAAAACTGATCCACATGACATAAAGGGGTATTCGTCATGTTTGATGTATTACTGAGGATGTTGATATGTAAACCTTTTGGCCTTCATCTCTACATACTCTTGAACTTAAGCTCCAAGTAAATTTTTTTAAATTTATCCTCTAGACACATGCTGAACAGTTTTCTATACCATGTTACATACACAAAGTTTATTGTGTTAGAGAAAAGAAGTTATGCTCTTTTTAACATACCTGTATGGGTTAAAGATCTAAAATCTTAAGAGCTCCCTTCATTAATGCATTCTGCATAGACTGCAGAGGAAGCGTTAGGACATAAGTTAACAAGACAACTGCTTGTTTGTTGGGTTTTTTCCTCCTCAAAATTACAATCAAGTTGACACTTAATAATTTGCTGGCTATCTAATATTAACTAGGGAGGCTAGCTAGGAAAAAAACCCCAAACTTCTTTTTTTTTTTTATGATACCTATAAAAACAGCTACAAAATGATCCAGTGACTTGCGGAAGGGTAGATCCACAACTGTGTAGCCTCTCGACATTATAGATGTGGCTGAAAATCTGGCCTCATCTCACTTCTGCTAGGTACAACTAAGAGAAGCAAAAGTCTCCCTCCCCATCTGCAAGGCACTGAGGGTGGCAACGCTACCCATCAAAGCATTTCCCTCTTCCTCTGGTTTTACCCACCTACCGAATCTATTTCTCATTTTTGCTTTCCTTAAAAAAATCCCTAGCAGAATAAGAAGATAACAATCCTTACAATTACATACAGAATATACATGTAAACAGTCATTATTTCAAAGTCAAAACATATCTTCATAACAGCTTTTAAGGATGTTCTGCATCAGCGGTTATTTACCGTACCTCAGGAAGAACTTTTTTATATATTGTTATCTTACCCTGAAATTGACTCTGTTCCTGACCCGTTGTGCCAATGCTGAATTTATAGCTTTATCAAACTGAAGTAACACCTGAAGGGCCAGCTGAGGTGTGATTTGCTGTGACTAAAGTAGATTTAAAAAAAAAAAAAGTTTTAAGTTGTTTCAAAGTAAACTTAAAAAGGCAGTAAAAATTAAAACCCTCAAAGTTCACACAAAGCAGATCTCAAAGTATTACATTCCTGTGTTTACTTCCTTTTTCCTATTTTAACTCGGAGAGAAGAAATGATGTCCTAACATGATTTTTTGTGCTACACAAGAATTTCTTCTGATTAACCTTCACTGGAAACAACCAGAAGAGCAAGAAATCGATTGCAGCATTCCAGATTAATCTGGCTGTCCGTCTACTGGGCCACGCAACAGGGGATTATGCCACTTACATAAAACATTTTCCTTCATCTAGAACGTTAAGAAAAAGATTTCCCATGTGAATGGAGTGTCAATAGCTTTTGGTTTTAATCATTAGGTTTTCCAAACATTGGCCATAAGTACCCTTATACAGCAAGCACCAAGCCGTTTCAATAACTACCCTCTCTTTTTATTAAGCTAATTGCCCAGACCCTGAACCCCACACGTACCTGTATGAGCTCGTCCAGACTCTCCTGCAGACTGTTCCCCAGCGTGGTGTTCCTATACAGCTGATAGGCCATGGTTTACCGAGACGGGCTGGACACCCTCCTGATCAGCCAGGCTCTGGACGCCAGCTATGTCCTCGCTCTCGTTTAAAAAGCAAACAAACAAGAATCTAAAAAAAATAAAATCTAAAAAACCACACAGAGCCCTTAAGGTACAACACACGGCAAGAGCAAACAGAATTTTTAAACTCATTCCGCAAACACTGACCGACAATTAAGAGCGCTCAAGAGCACGAAGCATTAACGATCGGCAGGAAAACC